CCCCGATAGCTCAGTTTGGCCGGATGGCCAGCTCTAGGAAGGGTTCTGGTCGTCCCAAACGTCTTCCATTTAAGGATTATGGAGGCCACTGTGCTCTTAGGAACCTTAAGTGCAGCAGAAATTTTTTTTGTAACCTTGGCCAGATCTGTGCTTTGCCACAATTCTGTCTCTGAGCTCTTCAGGCAGTTCCTTTGACTTCATGATTCTCATTTGCTCTGACATGCACTGTGAGCTGTAGGGTCTTATATAGACAGGTGTGTGGCTTTTCCTAATCACGTCCAATCAGTATAATCAAACACAGCTGGACTCAAATGAAGGTGTAGAACCATCTCTGGGATGATCAGAAGAAATGGACAGCACCTAAGTTAAATATATGAGTGTCACAGCAAAGGGTCTGAATACTTATGACCATGTGATATTTCAGTTTTTCTTTTTTAATAAATCTGCAAAAATGTCAAAAATTCTGTGTTTTTCTGTCAATGTGGGGTGCTGTGTGTACATTAATGAGGGAAAAAAATGAACTTAAATGATTTTAGCATATGGCTGCAATACAACAAAGAGTGAAAAATTTAAGGGGGTCTGAATACTTTCCGTACCCACTGTAAATAAGGACTGAAGATATGCACTTAAATGTGTTTGGTTGTTAAGTAATATATTCTCTAATTCTAATTTTAAGCTACAAATATTCACAGTAGGGCTGGATCCTAATAGTGGAATAGTTGAGTCATTAGTCGAGAGACCTATCAGTTGACTGAGTCTCTTGTATTCTGGCTTTTGTTTTCTTTGCATTACAATAGAAGGTAGCGCCAGACCAGTAGTTTGTGTTCCTCTTCTCCTCATTTTGGTGTGCCAAGCAGCAATTTAATCAATACTACCCCGTAGTTGGGGAGGGTAATACCCACTTCAACTGTGACACGTGCATGGATATTAAGGATGGAACTATTTAGGAAATTGCAGAACGAGGAGAAAAGGACAACAGAACCCACTGGGATAAGCCACATAAAGGGGTGAGATTTGTACTTTATTAGAAGTGTTTTCAATCATTGTGCTCTGTTTATACTAGACAAATCACCGTCACAATGATGTGGCTGGTTTTCCATGGTCTGGTTTGTTTACCTCTCTCCGTTAAAGTGCAACGCACAGCCGTTTACCAACTGTTTCTGCATCCATCTGAACGAGACTAGGAGGCTAAAAAAATGCGTAGGAAAATATTTTGATGAGGAAATCTAAATAAGAGGATTTGTTATGTGGTGTAAGCTGACACACATCAAACGCAAATTAAATGTGTGTAAATTTCACACTGTAAAAGTTAAATACATTTTTGAAACCTTGATTTATAAACAAGGAATTAATTGCTTAGTGTCATGTTTATGCATTTTAAAAGATCATAATGCTTTGTAAAATACTGGGAAAATATTGAAGAAATACCAATAATGACAGACTATTATATAACTGTAGAACTGAAGAAAACTTATTTATACCCAAATGTGCTCCCAAGTGTGTAGATTCTCTTCTTACCTAAGAACAAATCCCAGATAAGAAAACAAATTTGTACTTAAGGACAGTTTGTGAATGTGGCCCAGTGTCTCTGGTCTAGCTGGGGACCTTGTTACTTTCATCTTTTTCTACTTTCTGTTTACTGTCTGCATCTCTGTAACGTATCCAATAAGGACAAAATGCCATATTATAGTTGCAAAAAATAAACAAGAGTCAGTGACTGAAAAAAAATCAGTTGCAGTTTCAGATAAATGAAAGCTACAGACAGTTCCCTCAAAATTGGCAGTAAAGCATTAAAACTGTACAAAATTCTATATGGACACCTACCTCACAGGCACCAACCCCGCCCTGGAAAGAGCTCGTGCACATCTCATTCTCACGAACTCGACCTCTGAAGTATTTGTTACATTCCTTGTTACTAAGAACTGGTACGTGGGCCACATTAAGAACACTCTCATTGCCGGTCCCTTGAAAAGCAGTGAGAAAAGAAAAGGAAGGTGGACAGATGTTGAATGATTCTGGAAACAGCAATGCCATCTGTTGCTCAATGATCCGAATAGCTCTCTCATTTAGGTGCATCATTACTTCAAGGGCAGAAACAAGATGTGAGTTCCAAGTCATCTAGAATTGATTACTGCAATAGAAGCATACTGTATCGTGGTTATATGAAGCGCAGCATGTAGTGAATTCTGTGAGAAGTTATTGTTTCCAAAGGATTACAGCCTACTTACCTTTTGTCTCGCCCCATCCTGCAATCTCACAGGACGTCTCCTCAGCTACAATGTAGCGCTCAGGAGGCAGGCAGATCTGAGAGACACGCTCATTAAACTGGGCAGGGCTACAGAAAAAATAGCGATAGTCACAGTCAGAGCGATATTATACTGGTATGTCAGAAAGCGTGTGTGCGTGTGCATGCTAGGGACACTCAACAGTACACACTATTCCAGCTGTAGCATGACCAGTTGAGACTCGGAGGGTCCACAGACAATCTTGGTGAGCGGGATGGTTTGCACACCAGGCTCCCCTTCTTGTGGATCACGAAACAGCGTTCCCATCATGGCTGTGTACCCAGGCAGGTCCACGTAGCTGTGCACAGAGGAAGTAAATGTGGAAATACAGGCAAAGTGCAATTTCACCATCAGAGTTTAGTGTGTTAGCATTCCAACTTTTGCAGATTAGAATCAAAGCACACTTGAAGCTGATGGGAAAATCATTAGTGGTGTTAAAATTAAATACTGAATAAATTGAAATTTTGACCTGATGATGCTGCCAGAGTTAATGTTAAGGGATTATTAAAGTGAAGCAAGAGTGAGCGAACATGACATGATGGTGAGGCTAAAGAAAAAGTCAGGGAACTAACAAAAATCATTAGAATTGATCATCTAGGCACTACAGATATTTGTATTAAATTTCTTATCAATCCAGCCAATAGATGTTGAGCTACAGTGTTTCAGTCTGGACCTACAGGATGAACTGACATTAAAATCAAAGCAGCAGAAATTAAGCTAAGATTTCCTAACTTTTAGTCCCCAGTGAGGGTTAGTTTTTATTGTTGTTGGTGGTGAATAAATCATAAAAAATGTATTCAACTTTACTTCTTTGTTTTGCACATCGGGAATATAAATGTTTTCTGCTTATTCTATTTGTATGCTGGTGACGTTTGGTTGTGTACTGGGCGTTCATGAATTTAAATGGCTCTACTGATGCACCCTGCTCATGAGTGCATCTCCAAAAACCTTTAAGTAAGTCAAGTTTACCAGGAAGAGAAGCACTGCTTGGTGCTGATCACCCATCTGTCTTTAACCAGGGATCCTCCACAGAAATGGTTTCCTTTTCTGCACACAAGAGGTTAAAGTTCACAGCACAGTATATGTTACTTATATATGGCCATCTCAAACACCATCAGCTCTCAGACCCACCTGTCTCTGAGGCTCACTGTCCATGGTGAGTTCCCAGGAATCCCATTCACAATACGTAACATTGAGCTCCGTACGCTCAAGCGGTCCTCTCTCTTTCCACATTCACTAAACTCAATCTTCTCTGAGTTCACAAAAAGGCATGAAGAAGAAAGGTAAACTACTGTAAAACACACAAGGAGGCTGGTGGTGAACCTGAAAAACCTGCATCATATTCATTCAGAGACTAACCTACTGATTCAGTCAGGGACACTTTCTCTCCGGCTGTTTGAAGACATCATGAAACAGAAGAAACGTTAATGTGCCTGTCACAAAATAGAAGCTCTGGATGAATTTTTCACTGCACATTAAACTACTTTAAGGAACTGAAAATGGACAAAGAAAGAAGAGCTGTTCATGTGTACCGCACTGTTTGATGGCACAGTAGTCAAACTCAGTTTTGGGGTCAGTGGTGTAGCACCAGGGTCCGTGCCGGTCCCCATCTGGGTTACGACAATAGTCCTCTGTCAGATTGGCCTCAGGATGTGTCCTTGGGTTTATCCTGGAAAACCACACAGATTTTGTTCAAGCTCAGAAATGCCAAAAGTACAGGAAGTGGGGCAAACAATACTATATATACATTTTATACATAGCTCTTTTCTACATAAAAAATATAGAAAAGAGGCTCCATTCATGAAAATTTTTGAGTACTTGCCCCTATTTGTGAATTAAATCTAGCCTACCTTGTTTCTGGGCTGGGAGCACCCTAAGAGAATATATCCCAGTTTTATACTACATACCAACTGTTTACAGTATGCACTATATACTCATTTAATCGTATAAACTATTTTGTAGTTACTGCCAGTTGGACTTAACAAAGAGCCAGCCTAATGCTTTCTCAAAAAATGTAAGTTATGTTTGTTTTCCGACACGTTCTGGAGCTGTTTCACCACCATAAGGAATATCTAGAATTTTTCCAGCTGTGAAAAGCTCCTTCATTTCCTTTGTGCATTGCATTTTCAGAGAATTGTGTTCTTCAAACGCACACTAAAACTAAACAAAATAAAATAAAATAATCACACCATACTGAAATACTGCTCAGAATTAGTATTTAGTATGGATAATGAACACAACTTTAACATAAAAGCTATGAGCAGGGCCCGTTCCATTCTGTGTTTTGCCTCTGTCATAAATATCCCCAGAGGCCTACAGGCTGCGACCTCCTTGGATAAACAGTCATCTGTCTTTGTAACATTTCAATGGTCAGTGTACTTGGTCTGGTGAGGTGTATTAACGTTCCACTTCTGACAGGTGATGCCTTTACGAGTTTTGCGAACTATTCCTCTGTAGTTTTTTCCATTTTCTTGATAGCAATCTGGAAAAGGACATTATCATGATGACAGTGACCTTGATAAATTATGAAAGACAGAGTAAGCAATAAGAAAAAACGTATAGTTTACTGTGCGGCTCTATTCTGTACAAAAACCATCTATTTCATGTGAGGATTTAGGTTAGCTTAGCATAAATACTACAGACAATAGGAGACAGGTAGCCTGGCTCTGTCTGAACCTACCAGGTTAAGGTAAGGTAAGGTAACCAGCTGCTGGATAAGAGTGGTGGTGATTCCCTCATTTAATTCTCAAAATGTTAAACTCTTTCTTCAATAACGTGTAAAATTAACCAGCACACTGCACATTAATAGCACACTGAATAAACAAAGAAATCAGAGGCTTTCTCTTAATAATAATAATAGTCTAGCTTGTTGACAGCATCCTCCACTATTTACTTAACTCATCTTTTTCTGAAGCAAAGAGCAGTACCTTCAGCTTCTATGTCGTCTGCACAGCGTTTGATCTGTAAGCAGAGAGCAGTCCTCATCTCTGGCACAGATGTGAAGCACCAGGGGGCCTCTGATCCATCTGGGTTACGACAGTAGTTCTCCTCTAAACCTCTATATGAGGTGTAACACACAGTGATGCATTAAGGGAGCTATTACACAGCTATGTTTGCCCTTTAGTTTGGTTCTATAAAGGTTAGACCAACACATCTTACTCCTACTAAAAATGGATGATTGAAGCGCTTGTAATCAAGTTTGGCATAATGAAAGATCACTGCATCATAAATAAGTTTAATATTCATTCCACATCCATAGTGCCACTCAGAGAGCGACCCGCTTTTTAATGTGGAGCTGCTGACCATCTATCATCTGTTGTCAACTGTCAGCAGAGAAATAAGATCGCAAGAAATTTCCCTGCAATGGCATCTTGACATTAATATTCATGCGAGAAGCAAATAGAGGACTTGCAAACCAACAGACAGTGAGTGCAGGAGTAACCCCAAAGTACTTTCACCTTTCAAACATACTCAGCTTTTTTTTTTCTCCCCTATCATTCTGTGTTTTCTTTACTTACTTGCATTCATATATGTTTGGGTAGAAGGGATGCTCATGAGGATACTGGGCATCCCACCGCTGGCAGGGGATACCTGATGTTGTCTCGTTGACTTTACCACGGTAATCCTCTCCACGGCTGCGGAAACAGTTGGTGGTGAAGCTGGAGCGCTGCCGCTCCTCAACCTGAACCTCAGCTGGGCGGGAAGGAGCAAATTAAAGGAGAAATAAATTAATATTATATGGTGAAACAGAGGTTGATGGCCAGTGGATGTGGGGCTATTCAACAGAAGTCTCCTGGTGAGGTATTTCTTCCAGCTCAGCCTAGTTCAGCAGCAATATTTCCAATGTGATCAAATTAATAAACTGTATATAATATTTTGTTTTTTGTTGTTGATGGTTATGACAAAGAGAGTTGATTTTGAGCAGTTTACGTTGTTAGTTTTTATCTTAGTTACACCACCAGATGGTGCTATCTTATAGGCTTTTAAACTAGTGATCCTCCTCAGTGGAAGTGCCAGGGTTGCCTGTGTTATCTTGCACAACTGACGAGACAAGGACAAAAAAAAAAAAAAAAACCTGCCCTGCTTTGATTATTCATTAATTTATTTTCTGAACCTAAACGTTTAGTCACTTTGGTTTAATCCTAAAGGTATGATATTTTAATGTACATAAATTTATGAATTTTATATTAAAGAAGCCACATTGCAAACAATTACAAAATACCTACTATCTACTAACATACCCCAAACCCTTCTATTATGTTATGTTATGTTTGAACCATTTCCACTTCTGAGTTGTCTAAAACACTGCTTAAGCTCTCTTTTTTTCTCCATTAAATCTTTTAGATTTTCTTCATTTAGGTGTAAAATGTGGAATATTTTGACATTCAGATGTGCCATTAAAGGGTCTGTACTGAACTGAACTATATCAACAACCACTGGATGAACTGCCATGAAATTTGGTTCAGCCATTCATGTTTCCCTCAGAATAAATTATAATAACTCTGGTGACCTCTCGCTTTTCCTCTAGTGCCACGATCAGGTCAAAAATGTTATTTGCCCAATAATTTATGACCAAATAACTGTAAAACTAAAAACATTCCTATCAGCTTCATGTTAAGTGCTGATTAGCCAGTATTAACGTCCTCACATAATATACTCTGGTAGTGAACATGCTAAACCTGTTTAGCATCGCCATTGTGAGCATAGTAACATTCTGATATTTTGCTTTCTTACTGTTTTCATAGCTTTCTCCTGACTTGTGTTGGATCAACTAATCGGGTTGTTGAAATATGGTTTAAAATTAATAAATACTGTTAATACTGTGTACTGCTAATAAATATACTGTGTATAATTTTTCTGAATTCTCTGCCATAATACAACTGGAAATTGAACTCAGTATTTGCCAGTTTGTGAGTGCATTTAAATAGTGTAGGCCAATCCAATTCATACCATAATGAATGTAGTTTTTTTCAACATAATAGAGGGTTAAATTTTTTCATGTATATTTGTAAGTATACCACAATATATACCACAGCAAAAATTTACTGAAACTAAATAGAAATCGAAATTAGTTATGTAAAAAGAAACAAAATAATGAAAAGGGCTTTAATTAACCTTTAAGTAACCTGAAAGCCTTTGAGACAATGCAGTGCTTGAATTACTGACAAATATCTGCACACTTGAGCTACATTTACTCCTAAATCAAAAAGAATCATTGGGGCAATTGTGAAATGTCACACAATTTGGAAAGTAATTTGCACAAACAACAGAAAGGTGATTTTTCTAAATTTAATTACAGCAGCTTAATGAGAATTCCTAATTCCACTGTGACTCCTAATGCCACAGGAATCGGCTTAATTTAACTCACGTCCTCTATTTTATCAGAGGGCGATAACAATAAAAACAAAACAGAGAAATAAGCAAGAAGGTCTAATTCAACAAACCTATGCATTTATATGAATTGTTTAAGGAATGTATATGTTTGGGATGCAATTAATGATCATTTTCATCAACTAACCTTGCAATAAAAAAAAGGTTGTTCTATAAATGGTCACATAATAGCGAAGAGTGAATGTTAGAATTTACCATTCTTCAAGTTGATGTCTACAAATGTCTTTTGTCCAACCGGCTGTCTAAAACCTAAATACATTCAGTTTACTATCATAGACGATTTAGAAAAAGCAACAGAGTGCTGTTTGAGGAGATGGAAATAGAGAATGCGTACTATTCTTATTTAAAAGTCCATCATTCCAGCTCTTATGAGTATTTCAAATGCTACCATAACGTAATCAGCATCTTACTGCACTTGCTGATGTCACAGTTCTCTCTCTCCACATCAGGGTCAGTGGTGTAACACCAGGGCACTGGAGAGGCATCGGGATTACGGCAGTAGTTATCATCCAAACTCTTATCGGGATACCTGAATAATACATGAGCCATTTTTAAACCCACACTCACAAATAAAAGCAAAAGTGTAGACAGTGTAGTAAAATGTGCAGATCCTGCCTCACATTGATTCACATGCTAGCAAAAAGTGTACTTCTGCAAACCAGTTTATATTATTAATTAGGATTAATTAGGTAGATGACAGGTAATGTGGTGTTGGGTTCATGAGTACTTTTCGGGCTGGTAGATGTGTTGGTGAGGGTACTGCTGGTCCCATCTCTGACACTCTTTGCCATTCACAGTGTGGTCAACCTGTCCTCTGTAGTCCTCGCCGTTACATGTGATACATACCTCTGCAAACACAACCACAAACACAGCACCAACACCCGAGGAAAGACAAATGAGAAGGAAATTAAAAAAAAAAAAATACATGATACACATAGAAATACTTTACTTTACAGGTCCCAATGTTTCCAAATAATTTCCTTGGAAAAAAAAAACCGGATCATTTATTTTGAAGGTCCTGTCATCTGTTGCTAATTACAGTGAAGATTAAGACTGTTTAATTGGTACACTTGTTAATTACAACATTCTTTTACCAATTTAAGCATCTTTTAGTCAGGGACAATAGGTCAGCTGAACATGCAAAAATGTTAGAAAAAAAATCTACCTGCTTATAAACTGTTGCCAGGAATAGCTACTAATTTATATTCCTAAACACAACTAATGAGCGGGTAATTACTACCCATATCTCTACTTCCTGTTATTACTGTCTACATGCATATTTTCCCTATAATTAGTAGTAAATTATGAAGTTTTTTTCCTAGAAACCTCTTAGGAAATTATTGCAAAAGTTCAGGACCCATAAATAAAGCTGTTACATGCATCAAGTATGAGTATGTACAGTGTAGCACGTCCTGTACCATCTTTGCACTGGGGGGTGTTACAGCTTTCATAGCGTCGCTCAGGATCGGTGGTGTAGCACCACGGACCGATGCGATCCCCATCTGGATTTCTGCAGTAATTCAGCTCCAGGCCGTTAGTATGAGACAAACAGACAGTTCTATTATTATTATTATTATTATTATTTACTAAAATGATGTGTTGGCAAAGTATTCCATCAGACCTGACCTTGACTAGAAGGTTAAAGTTTTTTAATTTCCAGGTGTTTAACATGATTATATGTGCTCAAGTAACCTGGTTGTGATTGAGTATTCTGGTTATCTCTGTGTAGGACCCTCCCAATTTTAAGAGACAGAAAATACCCAAACAAATTATTATAAACTTGAATCTGCAAAAATAGGTTTTTGACCACTCAGTAGCACAAGAACTCCGACATATTATCACTTGGAAATTATACTCAGTCACTGGCCAGTTTTCACATCCAGGACACAGCTAGTGTCACGTGATTGGACATATGATTCAGTTTGCTGATGATAACTAAGTTTATCTGACATGTTTTGGTCATTATGTGACAGAATTAATATCAATGATCTGAAATTTTTCAAAAGACCAGTTATGCACAACTTTGCTTAACCAGCTTTGCCATTTAATCTATTAATTTAACTTTTTTTTGACAACTGTTATGAGCAAGCAAGCAAACAGGACACAAAGATTCATACTCATAATAACTTATATTAAATGAGTCACTTCTATCTGAAGGGAACTTGCCCATGCATGCCAGCAGACATTAGATGTGTTCGACTCAATTTTTGTAGCCTTTGCAGTGAATAACAGCTTAAAGTCTACGACATACAGTGGACATCTGCAGATGCTCAGTGGAGTTCTGTGCTTCAGCCACCTTCATTTGCTTGTTTTGGAGTGTTTTGTCTTCTAACAGGTTCAACACCCTTTCGTTGAACTGAGGCCAGGTGACTGACTTGGCCAGTAGAGCACATTAAACAGTTCGACCTAAAATCACTTCTGGGTTGTTTTATCTGTATGTTCTCTGACCTGCTGCATGATTCTACAGTGAAAGGTTTATACATAAAATAGGTTATGAGTCTTTCACTCTTCTGCCAGTATGTGAACACCTTTAAATACAGTTAAAGCTGAAGTAATCTAAAAGCTTGCAGATTTTTATTTTTAAATTCAATGTGCTGAAACAAGGTCCAAAAGCTTTCTGATTACACTGTTGAAAGACGAGAACATCAGTGTGAAATGATTCATCGGAGGCAGTGTCTGACCTGTGATCATGAGGAAACTTGGACCACCATTGTTGGCAGGTGAGACCGCTTTTCGTGGTGAAAACCTTCCCTCGGTAGTCTTCTCCTTTACCCACGATGCACTTCCTGACATAAACTTCATGATAAAAAGAACCAATCAAACAACTCCAGTACTGACACGTCAAATTGACCTCTGTAAGTGCATATGAATCTTACCCTTCTTCTCGTAAAGGTCACAGTTTACATTTCTCTTCACCTCTGCATTGCTGCCATCACCCACCCAGGGCAGATGTTTACAGGTGACAGCTGGACGAGTCTCATAGTTGAATGCTCTGATAGTGATGAATATTTTCATGTCAAAGGTCTATACATTAAGGAGTAAAACCTCAGGTTCATATTAGGGTTAAATCAATTTAAACAGAGGTTTGCAAAGGTTGAATTAAGTAAAAACTGGGACAAACAATAAGATTACTACCAATCTTGTCTGATGTAAAAATTAGTTAATTGTTATTGCTATTAACATTATAAAGTTTCCATTATTGTGGTGCTTTACTGCTTTTATCTGTCATGTCATGGTTAAAATCACTCGCATGAAGGTGGAGTTAATAAATCTGTGGAGAAGACCAAAAAGATAACATTGTTTTTTCTCATAGCAAACCTTCATGTTACCTGCTTGTAAAGATTAGTTTTGCATCAGACATTTACAGACTTTAACTCAGTAGTAGTAACCTGGATACCAGAAACCAGTGCCACCACAATAGTAAATATTACCATACTGAGTGCACACACACAGTTTTCCAGTGAGGGATTACTAATAATACTACTGTGTGCTTACTTTAAGCTTTATTCCCTAATAAAGTGGTCTAGATAGTCTTGTTAAACTTGAAGTCCTCACATTTTCCAGGTTTCACAGTTGAGATCTTGTCATGACCCCATATCTCAACAATAACTTACATAAATATCCAATATTAATATAACAAACTGAAATTTTGGTCAGATCTGTAAAAACAAGAGCCCAGTTCTGTTAAACTCAGGATACCCTTAAAAACTGAAAGATCCCTTTGTTTGGTATTTTTGTAGCCATCGTTATCAGGTTGGACTCATCTCACGGACTGTATTAATAACTAACACTTGAAACTCCATCATTAATAAGTTATTGTAAAATGGACAAAAATGGTTTTTTCCCTTTCAAAATGTACAGTAAGCATCAATAAATAGCTTGCAAAACTCTTCACTGTCACAAGCAGAGTCCATTAGTAGGTGTTTTAGAGCTTCTGACAATATCACGATTTTCCCCAGCAGATGGAATTTGCCCAGTCATCAAGGATCAGGCTGAAACTCAACTTTTATGCTATCACAGATGAGTAGTTCTTAAAATGCTCAGATAATGGAAAGCTGAACAAAGGTATTTTCATGAAAACTGAGCAAACTCAGTGACTGAAAGCTTCTGAGTAACTAAGTGACTTTCAGTCTCATCATATCTGATGGTCAAATTAGCCTAGAATATAATATGAATGTGTCATCTTAACCTGGCATTTTTTAAAATCTCTGTAGGTACATATTTCATTACAGATCCATAAATTAAGTCATAACAAACCTATTTTAAGTATGGCCTCGGTGCCTAGTGATCAACACAACCTGCTAAATTAAGTTGGATACCTGCAGTCCAACGATTGTGAGCAGCGAGTAGCACACTCCTCCAGGTTCAGACCCGGTAACAGCAGCACTCGTTCTGAGTTCCAGGAGGTAGGAACCAGCTCACGGCCCTCAGAGCGCTGGAAGTCATTCAGAGGACTGCGGTAGCCTGTTTGTGCAGACAGAAGAGAACCAGAACCACACTTTGTACTGGCTGACTTTCTAGGCTGTGTCTTAAGCCCATCTGTTTTAAACTGGAGTGTAGGAGCTCACTGGTACCAAATGCAAAATTTGGGCATGAGCCTGCACACATATAACCTTTGGACCATGATACAAAGACCAGAGAAAGGCTTTACAGACCAATACATCTAGTTAGTGAACCAAACTACTACGACAACACCAACAATTACTAGTAGGCCTGTGTATCCATGCAGAACTAGATTTAATTACATAGTATTCTTAGGACCCACAAAAACATAACATTAAAAATAGTATTTTGGAGATTTCTTGGCTATCATCTTACAGGTAGTAACTCTCACAGACTTTTGCTCTGATGGCAAAATAAGGTTTAAAATTAAAGCTTCAGCTCCTTTGTACTCACAACAATAAATAAAATTTATAACTTTTAAAGTCATTGAGATTCGTTTACAATTAAAGACAGGGATTATAAAGTGTTCTTACCAGTGACCAGTCCGACTGACAGGAGGATACAGGACAGAAACGGTTTCATTGTTTGTGGTTGGTGGAAAAGACTCTTCTATAAACACTAGATGAAAATATAACCACTGTCCTTTGTGAGCTTCTGAGGATTTGGGTTTTTTAAGAGTAAAGGATTAACCGTAGATTGCTTTTATAAAAAAAAAAAAGCAAACAGGACGTTTTGGAAAATCCACGCAGAAAACCAAATCCTGACGGACACTGAGCCCGCAGTCGGCGGCCCCAGTCCCCAGACAGACGATCAATACGTGGATTAATCATTAATGAACTGTAGCACATCGCTATTTGTTCCTCTACTTTTTCATGACACAACAGCATTGTAACTGAAAAAACCCCCACAGATGTGAATCGATTCCTTCCAATCAATTCTTCTAACAGACGCTAGACGTCAGCACAGTAATTTCCAAAGACTTTTTTCTTGCTTCTGTTTTCCGGGCAATAAAGTGAAACCACAGCTGATCCTCCTACTTCTGGTAGTTTAATCGTCCGGTCGTTTGTGGAAGCTCTCGGGTAAGAAATGTTGGATTCTTTCCTTATCACGTTTGCGAAGAAGAACAAAAGTAGTGAGACGAGCTCGGTTTTATTAATGAAATGATCTAATCTGGACTTTGAATTGAAGCGTTCAGCAGTTTATCAGGACTCTCCTTTGTATGTACAAACATTATCTTATAAACGTGAAGCAAAGAAACTTGGCTGGTTTGTTGGTGTGAGCAGCTGTCACCTGATAACTTCAGCCGCCGGTCACTTACGCTACACCACATAAAGATCCGAAGGTTAATTTGTGCAAATGCCAGAGATTTGGCATCTCTGCGCTCATTTTGCGCTTATATTATGTGGTTTTGCATCTTTGTGATCATTTTGCGTCCCATTTTAAGCCGCTCTATTTTGCCATTTTGCATCTGTTTGGAACTGCTAGTTCGTTTTCCATTTCTTTTTTTTTGTTGCTTTGTGTCTATGTGGTTATTTGTGTGTTTTACAGGATGTCAGCTGTTAAGATGACAGAGGGGAGTGTGCAGGTAGAGGGGTGCAAAATGCCGTTGTTCTACAGACAGAGTGAACCTAACGCAGGGGAAGTGAAGATGACAGTTTTACTTCTTCATGGCATCCGTTTCTCATCGGAAAACTGGCTCAACATCGGCACACTGGAGACTCTGGCCAAAGCAGGCTGCCGTGCAGTCGCCATTGACCTGCCAGGTGGGTCTGATGGGAACAAACTCAAGTTTGGATTTCAGACCTCCAGGGGCCCTGTAAACCCGGGTCCATGGTCTTTAAAGGTCTTATTACTTGCATACAGTATATATATATATATAAGGGGATTTGCATCACTAGTTCTACCACCATTATTATTTCAATTATATGGTGCATTTTTCTAAATAAAGTTGGGTTTCTTCAAAATGTCACAAGCTAATTGAAGTTACAGACAAAATGAACTATGACTGACTCATATAAGGCTAAAACAGTTTTGCCTTAGTCATTGGCCATGAGTGTGATGCGTTACCTTTAACGCACACATTAGTAGAGCTCCCCATATCTGATGTATAAAACTGGTTTATTTTTGTGGCTTCATTGTTAAATCACCTCTCTGTAAATTAACTTAATGTATACTGGTCAAAAGCAACTTGGGACTGACAGTAGAAATACACAGCTTAAAGGGAGTACAGTATATGATGCTAAGGACATTACACTGCACTGTTACTGTAAAGATCATCAGCAATGTGTCTGTGGTTTTAAGGCTGGTGTCATCCATTTTTATGAAACCCATGTGTCCAAAGGGTTCGGCCGGTCTAAGTCAGCAGAGGCCCCAGCACCGGTGGGAGAACTGGCCCCTGCTGGTTTCCTAAAGGAGGTGTGTGAGCGGCTGAGCCTGAGCCCAGTGGTGCTGATCAGCCCATCCCTCAGCGGCATGTACTCTCTCCCCTTCCTCTTCCAGCACCAGGCTCTGACACGAGCCTACATCCCTGTGGCTCCCATCTGTACTGACAAATTCACAGCAGAGCAGTACCAGAGTGTAAAGGTACAGTCTGCGTAGCAGGATAGGCCTCTGCTTTATATCCCTTTGTAGTTTCCTTCCCTGTTTTTTTTACAGTATGTGTACTCTTCATTTACTCTTTAAAGGATAACTTGAGCAACTATGAATGTCAAGTTCCTTCTCCCACCTTTTTAAAAGACTGGATTTTTACATGCTACAATGACAGGAGCAGATATGTGACTTTATACGTTCACAGAACCCACAAGCTTTCATCCAACTCCAAACTCTTTGAAAATTTATTTTCTTAGAGGGCAAATCAAGTGAAGGTGCACAATCCATGAAGGAGACGTGGGTTCAAAAAACAAGCAAACATGTCTGAGTAAACGCATAAAGCTCAGTGATTTAGGGAAAATATCAAAGCAGAAAAGCAGTGTGATTATATTAGTGGGATTATTATAATAAAATAGCTAAACATACTGTAAGTAGACTAAATGCCAGTGCTGGATTGTAACACTTATTCAAGTACTGTATTCAGGTTTATTTTTAAAGGTACGTGTACTGGGGAAAAAAAAAAAGATTAATCAGAAGGATTTCCTTTTCATCAAGTGTGTACATGTCTCCTTCAGGTTCCATCACTGATTGTTTATGGTGACCAGGACACTCAACTGGGAGAGGTGTCACTCCGTAACTTGAGCAATTTGGCCAATCACAGCGTGGCAGTGATGAAAGGAGCGGGTCACCCCTGTTACCTGGACGACCCGGACACTTGGCACCGAGTTCTCACAGACTTCCTCAATACGCTGTGAATCTCCGCTGTGTATCAACAGTCACATGACTCAGGAACCACACTAATAACTAAATTCATGAGAAATTTAGTCCACAAAGATCCTCCTGCATGATCTGTCACTAATGAAAACTGAAATTAAATATTTTCTGATGAAAGTTTGCAGGAAACTTTCAGCATTTTTGCAGAAATGCATAGTCACTTCCCTCGCAAGGAGGGTTAAATGTAGAAATGGATACCCAGCCAACAAATCAGCCTAGTAGCACTGCTAAAGTTCGCTGTGATCACTTAAAACAATAATTTACTGTTTTACAGGGAGATCAGGTGCCAGTAAATTCCTCAAGTCTGGTGAGTTAGAGCCCCACCAAGAAATAGACTGGCTCATAATCCCCCATAAAAGAGAGATTTGTCGTTTTTAGTTTGGATTTTGTACGGCTTAAACAAACACTGCAGATATGTGTGAACTGTTTTCTGTGGCCAGAGCCAGTCCAGCTGTTTCCTTGTTTCCAGTCTTTGTGAAAAGCTAAGCTAACTGGCTGTTGGTTTATGAGAACGGTATAGCTATTCTCACCTAAATCTTAAGGAAACAGTGTTTTACCAAAAATGTTGAACTTTTCCTTTATTACAGTGCCATCCATCCTGTACCATGAAAATATATATTGTACTTATAGATTTTTATACAACTTAACCAAGCAAATAAATGAATCTCCAGCTGTGTCTCGCTAACAAACCAAACACCACACGTTGAAATGAAGTGAAAAATATGAACATTATTTAATAACTGATTCTCTGTAATAAACAATTTGAAAATATTTTACAAGGAGTCACAGACACAATATTTTACAAATTTTGCCCTCTTCTTTTTTTTTAAGCTTCATCTGTACAAAAGAATGGAGCAACATGGACCAGAGCCCAGACAAGGAGCAAAATCTTCCACACAAACATACATTCACACTCACACACACACACACACAAGAAATAAAACCAAAATAAAATTAAAAACATTTTGACTTCAGATCTGAAACTCATCAACAGTGCTGTATTCCTATATATATATATATATTTTTAAACTTCATTTAAAATTCGACTGATTTTACTTTTTTTTTTCCTCTAAATGTTTTTCTTCACACACTTGTCAAACATGGTCACATAGCACCAGACTACAGACTACAGAATCACATACACACGCGTCTTTCCCACAGAGATGCACCAACACAGATGCAGCGAGGGTCAGGAGGGGGCTTCATGAAAACCCTCCCTTACTTATTTTAGGGTTGTGTCCTAAAGCGGACCCCTCCCTCTCATCCCCAAGCTGGTCCAGTTTTCTATTTTTCTTTTATTTTTTGGCAAAAGCAACTTTGTCAAACCTCAGAAATCATACGTGCGCCCCACTGTCCGTTGGGATGCGCACACACAGATGTCGCTCTATGAATCCTCCATGACCTTCTGTCTGACAGGCCCGTGCTGCTCTGTGGAGACCCACTCCCTGAGCTTGCCTCCGACATCCCGACCACTCACAAAAAAAAACACCTGGGAAGCTACGTCCTTGGCTTGCTTCAGCCTGGTGCTTGACATTTCCCAGCTGGGCATGAATAAGTAATAGATGTTTGCTTGTGTGTGTGTGTGCATTATGCATAATGTCTTAGTGCAGGTGTACAAACTGTAGGCCTACATGTTTACATATATGCTTGAGACTATGCATACAGAGTCAGGAAAAGAGAGGAAGTTGCAGGGGGTACATTTCCACAGGAGCGTGTAGTGTTTGTTTACAGAGTGGAAAGAGGGAAATACAGACAGATTTAATGGCACGTGACAAACATGCCAGAAAAGTAAAACTACATCCACCATCAGATGACCCGCCCCGTCCCTACCCAGCACTCAAAAGAGACAAATTGTAAATATACTTCCTAAATGTAAACTTTTTAAGTCTTTTATTTTATTTTTTTGTCTGATTTGTGTTTGCAGTAACTGTGCCAGCATGTTTGTCACATCAAATTGTACCAACAACTGTACAGTGTATAGTCAAACTGTTGTGTGAATCTTCTCACCAGAGCAACACAATGAGGTTTAGGTGGATGTGAAGATCGGGTAGTTTTTTTTTTTTTAAAGAAAACTCCCACCCTCCCTCAAGCATTTCACCAAACAGGCATCAGTCAATCCTGAATCATTCCAAGACTGAAAAAATACACAATCTGAGCTCACTATAGTTACTGCAGAACACCAACAACACCCAGGGAAAAAAAAGAGTGTACATGATGAAAGGGGGGCAAACATATCAGAGCTCCATACTGTGTAACACTAAGGCATTTAAAGAGGCTTTGTTAACTATGTTGCATCTGAAACAGAAAACACTGATGAAGTACACATTCTTTTGGACACCTCTGCTCTTTTAGATTAGTACTTAAGCAGAATGATGGCTAAAACGGATTATTTTTGTTGAAGTTAAATCCCTTTTTTCTCTACAACACTGGATTTTGTCCACTGTAACACAGAAACAGGAGAAACAGCTATGCTACCACAACTGTCATCCCTCATACACTCAATTTAAAAGACAAACCCTTTGAGGGGTTTCAACATAAACTACAGTAACACACACATCCACACACAAAAACACATATGATTCAGGCAAATCTATAGCAGTCAGGTGGCCCTAAAAACGCTCTATGGCCAGTTAAGTGACTGTATACTGATGGTGTATTGTAGCTCTATACATGGCTTTGTAAAGAAACAGTATAGTAACTCCATATGATGGCAGTCAGGTAGCTCTGAAACGCTACAGCAACCTTAGCCAAGAGGGCAAATACATTAAGCTCGAGCCAGTCAGCGTGATGGCTCTGTGTAAAGCTATTTCTACAGCTGACAGATTCAGTCTCACAGGCTCCTGTGTGATCCAAAGCCTCACAGATGGCTGCTTTATAAAGGTACTATACAGTAGCTCTACTCGTATACGGCCGATGCGTTCCAAAACAAAGTGCATCAAGGCACTATGAAACAGTGGCTCCTAAACACGGGAGTCTAAATGACTTTCCACACACATTGTAATGATCAAATGACAAACTGTGATGGATTACAGCCAGACTATGCGTACGTGATCACAATATATAGTGGCCTCTTCTGCACTTTTCGTGAAAATGTTGATAAAGTCCCTGTCCCACAGCAGCGAATGGTTTTGGAGTTTGAACAGCATCAGTCAAAGGAAACACAAGCCCCCCCAAAAGGTAAAACAATTAGCCCTGGGAGGCGGTCATGAGGCAGAGATCCAGGTGTGTCTGTAGTGTGAACAGAAGTACAGTAAAGCACATATACAAACTGTGATTAGGAACATCAGTAGAGGTTACCGGAGAAGCCTCATGAGGATTGGCAATGGTTCACATCAGAGAGCGCAGGGTGTTTGTTTTTTTAAAAACATAGTCTAAACCAGAGGTCAGGATGGTTGATCAAGGAGAATACTGCACAACATTAATAATGCTCCTGACTAAATCTGCAGTAACTGAGAACTAATTCATAATTTACAGCCAGTTAGTAGTGCATAAGCCAGATACTGTAGCACTAGCCTTAAATAGTAAATATAAGGAGAAACAGTTCAAGAAATGGGATTTGTTACCATCACTAATCCCCAGTGAACGGCTTTTAAAAGCATTGATCTGTAATTAGAAGCTGCACAAAATGAATCAGCATTCAGTTTCTGAGCATCTCTTCATGTCATGGTTTATCCTAAACCTAAATCAGAAGCCATTTCCTCTTTGTGTTTTGGCTATAAAAATAAGACCACATGAAAGTCTATCTCATTTTGGCAAGTAGATATAGTGCATAAATTAATTTGTCTTTTTACGTGAACACCTAACAGCTTCCTTTTCAAATTAAAACCTAAATATACTGTATGTTTTGGAATACTCAGCACTTCAGCAGCTTATACTACTTGACAGTTCTTTTTTTCTGTTGTTTTTCTTTTATGGTGGCTATTAGCGACTGAATGGTCCACAGCCTCTGACGAGAGGCGAATGACAGAGCGGTGAGACTCTGAGATGGAGGAGAGAAGTAGAAGCAGAAGTCCCACTGTCTGTCTGACTGACAGAGGTGAAGGTGGACAGACGACCTCTACTCTCCAGTCTGTGTGAGGTCTGTGGCGAGGACATCAATGTATCCCTTTTCCCCCTCCCTGCCCTGAATGACAAGGGCGGTGAGGTGGTCTTAAGGGGTTTGTTTTCTCTCTTGTTTTGACATTGCCTCTGATGATTAGGGTGGTCTGGCACCACCCGCTCTGCCTGCCGATGAAGGTTAACTGGCTGAGGACACAAATATCCGGCAGTTGTCGCTAAGCGATAGGAACTGAAGCGAGCTGTGGTAGCGTGGCACTCAGGACTTCCAACTTGCCATGATGGGAAGTCCCATTAATACCTATGACTATAGTGGGGGAGGGTACAGGGGCACAGAGGTGAGGAGGTGGGGGCAGGGTTTTTTAGGACAGGACAAAAGCTAGGGAGGGCTAAAAGGTGGAGGAAAACCAAATTAATGTAGTAGAGAGGGAACGTGGGGGCTGATGACAGGATAAAGCAGGAGCAGCTGAAGGAGCAGTAAAGTGTGGAAGAGAAGTCATGTTCACACATCGAGTCTATCTGAGGTGTGTTTTCCATAAACTCTATGTTTGAGACACACATCTATTCCTGTTATTCTGTCATCTGACTAGGTGTTATGGAGAGTAGCAGCGTCTTAGGCAGCACCGACTTCCTATGTCTAACATTTCTGTTTACAAATCATTTTGTTTTTGGCAAGAGGAAGATGGGCCCACTCCCTCAACCTTTAGTGTGCATGCAAGTTTTGGATTGTTAAAACAACAGAATTGCATCCATAAATCTGAATATAAACTAAAAATATAATTGTGTGTGCTTCCTTTAATGTAGGTGGGGCTGGGCAATGCGACTGACATCATCATCATCATCATCATTTTAATAAGGGGAGCCAATATCAGCAAAATCACACATAAGATTTTTAAAATAATGAACTGTGTTGCAGTTCAGTGCTGGTTTCTATTACTTAAGATCAAACTCTTCATATGTTTAAATCAAATCTGACTTGAAAAACATGAACCTCGATGTATCGCAACACTAATGTCCTCTTCACGGTTTTTACTTTACTGGCTTGTGAATTGTTCAAAATGTTCTGTGTGCACACAGTGTAACCTTGTACCAGCTGAGGCGTAAATGCCAAACTCATATTTGTTTGAATAACTGTGCTTGATATTGTGTCTGAAAATCTTACAGTGGCGTTACTGTCAAAGCAGTTGGATGGTCCTTTTCGATAACGTGCCGCACTCATTTCTTCACACGGATTTGCTTCCTTGACTGTAAATTGATTCAATTAAGGAAAATTAAACTCCTTTGAATGTCTCATTTTCCCTTTTCCGTAATGTTTCATCACCCGCCCACACACTGATTCCTCATTCAGTCCTACAGGTGTAAATGACTGGTCATAATTCACGCCATCGTGATAAAAATAACCTTGAAGTGAATGTGAAACGTCTGTTTCTGCAGGTATGGTAATAAGGAGATAGAATCTAGCGATTAGAGAGAGTGTCTTCGTCTCTGCCAGCTGGTGTACAATGTGAAAAAGGATACACTCCTCCTCCTCCTGGGACAGCTTCTCTATCTCGCAGGTGTTGCATGGCATCTTCTCTGCCACCACAAACAGCAAGTTGGTGTTGTTTATCCTCTTGGCATGAATCAGCCTGCGGAGAGAGAGACACCTCTGTCAACAACTCCCCTCTGAAGCTTATATCACAGGCTCATTTGCTAATGGATCAGTGAGATTCATGAGACGGTCTTATAAGGCTCATTTAGCCAATGATATGAGCGTTTCATTAAAGCTGATACAATTTAATCATCAGCAGAGTTTATCAGCTCCAACAGAAAGATGAATCTGTCTTGCTAACTGTCTTGCTCTGTCACAGCACCATTTGCGGCATGTATGTGTAAGCACATGCATGTGTATTTAAATGTGTGTGCGACTGTGTGCATATAGACCTGGAGCAGTTGCCACAGTCTTGCAGTATGTTGTAGGAGCTGCTGAGATTACTTAAGTAGTACTGGGTCTGGATCATTACACAGCTCCTCTCTTTGGAGTCGATTCCTTCTGCATCCACGTCGTCTGCAGCAGAGACACACGAGCAACACTTGTCACAAATGATTTATAAGATCTGATTCTGAAAATGATGCACAAAGATGTATGTCTCTACTTAGCCTGGAAAAAGTTGTAAAAGACTGTTTATCATTTCTTTAAATAAATAGTGTTGAAAGTTTGTGCAAGTGTTGTTGAATTACATTCAAATTATTTCACATCTACTAATTGTTGATCGGTTACAGTTTGATAAAAACTATAACGGACAGGAAAACGTATAAAACAGAATTAACATTGGCTAATTTTACATCCTGCTTGCTCCCACCTGTGACAAACCAACTGTGATAAGCCAGTCCATATATAAACTGTTGGAACAAGGACCTGTGGAGACAGGAAGTGTGAAAAAGAAATTGTGAATGCAACAATGTGGCCTAGTAACAGGGGCCATAAACTTTTACAAACTTGTGTCAAAGTTACCCATCTACAGAACTAACTATGATGGAAACAAAGGGCAATGCTGATGTTTTCACATTACTGATGAAAAAAGCATTAAGACATAAGTCTTGCAGGTCAAATGTGACTCGTATAGCTGGTATGGTCGCTTAGTGTGGGGTAGAATAGACTGACAAACTGAGCAGAGGACAAAAATAATATATTTCTCATACTTACAGGTATTACAGAAAAAAACCATCAGAAACAATGCTGAGCATTTCTAAAAAAAACCCATAAATACTCCCTGATGAAGATTATTTTATGGATTTCAGTACCACTAGGAGTGTCAGAATATACATTGCCACTGTGTTCTGCCTCATCACAACTAAACAAATCTCACCATGCAGCTGCTGATGTCCACCAAGCCAGGTTTACAAAATCTGCAATAGTGGGCTGTGGGCACAGAGGAAATGCATGACTATTTCAAGCAAACATTTAGGTATGTAATAATCTCTCAACTGTATTTGTCCATTCATTAATTCAGCCCATCCCCATCCTCCAGTACTAATATTAGATTCCTACCACAAACACTCGTCTGGGTGCAGCTCCAGCTTCACTGTTGGGCATCCGTTCACACACCGACTGGTAGTCAAAGGACTGTTTGCGGTTGTAGAACGAATTGTTGTAGAGGGCAAACATCAAGTAGGGGTCGACATCGCTGAAGAACATTCCTACCTGTAGATGATATAAGACACCCTGCTCAAGCTCTGAGCAAAGATTAGAGAGGAAACCCTTGTCAGTGTAAAAATGCATTTATTAACTTCACCTTGTTCCAGTCATCCTTCTGATTGGACATGATTAGAAATCCACCATCATCTAATAAATAACACAGGAGATCCTGCACACAGAGGCAAAATGGACTGTTAAAGCACAGGGGAAAATGTAGAGTGGTTTAATACAGTTGATCCAGATGAGCACAGGAATCTTTTTAAAGCTTTTGCAGGAATACTTACGTCGCTGTTGGCTTCACAGTCCATTTCACAGCCCCTGTTTGGTCCACACTGCCACAAAGACCAAATCATCATTTGAACATGTTAGCATTTACAGTGTGAACTTTCTTACTGCAGAGGCGTACTCAAGTACTTGTACAGTTTTGAGGTTTCTGTGTTTTACTTGAGTATTTTCATTTTCTGCTACTTCACACTTTGACTTCACTACATTTCACAGAAAAATATTGTACTTTGTACTCAATACATTTATTTGATAACTGTAGTTACTAGTAACTTTTCAGAATGAAGTTAAAAGAACAAAACAATATAATCATTAAACTTTATTGATGCTTGGTAAAATTCATAAGTTACCCAGCAGTAATTCAAATTATAGGCATACAAGGTAGTTAAAATCAACTCTACCTTTACCAGCTGCAACATTAAATGTGATGTACATACTAATACACCAATAATTATAATCAAATAGTACGATGCATATCAATGTAAATTTGTGCCGTTTTGCATAATGAGTACTTTTACTTTTGGTACTTTAAGTATATTTTATGCTAATAGTCTTACTTAAGCAACATTTTGAATGTAAGTCTTTTCCTTGTGACAAAGTATTGGTACTTTTACTTAAGTAAACAATCTGAATACAACAAACTGTTTTACTGTTACCGTATTTGAGCCTTGACGGTTGTCCGTATGGTTGCTGGCAAGAATCTTGAACTTATCCGTCCAAGCTTCAAGGTCTAGTTTGACTCCAACCACTGAGAGAGAGAGAGAGAGAGAAGTCAGGAGAAGACATTCACTGAACAAGATTCAAAATGCAAAAACTAAAAGACAAACTTACATAAAGGCGCCATAAATATATGCAGACACATGTCCACTCAAAGTGACAAGAAATATGAACGCAGATGTGTAATTATCTTCGCCTTGCTCTGAAACATTTTCTTTAATATCTATCATTATAAGAATGTCTTCTTCTCTTTCAGAGCTGAGCCACCTGCAGGTTTGATGGTCTTCACTCCTATTGTGATCTCCACAGCCGTGCTGACCAGGATCCCTAT